ACGTCTTTCAAGGGGAGATTTGACCTGAGCGGCTCGTGTTTGTTTTGGTTCGGCTGACAGTAAACGCCGGAGACAGTGGGAGGTTACACGGGTATTCGTGGGGGCATTCCGGAGGGTAATTCAGTGGAAGCGCAGGTGAACGTGCGTGTGCTTTGTTTCCTTGAATACCTTTGGCGTCACGTGTTTGAAGTGGTCGTGTAAACCACATCTGTGTGGCAGGGCTAACGAAGGGCAGACGGCGAAATTTTTTTTAGTGAATTGTGGTCCATATTGACTCAGGTACTGTTGAGCTCTAATACTGCAGTAACAACAGATGACTAATGGTATAAATGACTAATACGAAATGCCTTACGTGGATTAGCATGGTTTCACATGACTGACTAATAGGTAGGGTGCCAGTCCACCTATCAGATTGACACCCATTGTTCTGTGTTTTCCTACTGGAGTTCATTGACACAGCCCTGACACTGGTTATTTGTTTAGGTCGTCGTAAGTAGGTCGTCGCAGTCAAATGGAACGCCTGGAGACTCACGTTAGCGCCGAATACGCTATTGCAACGTTTTTCAACCTCGGGGTCGGGACCCCGCGTGGGGTCATCAAATTGTACTTGAGTATACAGTAGAGTCGAATTTAAAAAAGCTTAAAAAATATAGGTTTTTAATATAGCTGAGATCCATCCATCCATCCATCCATCCATCCATCTGTCTATCTGTCTATCTGTCTATCTATCTATCTATCTATTCATCTGTCCATCTGTCCATCTGTCCATCTATCTATCTATCTGTCCATCTGTCCATCTGTCCATCTGTCCATCTGTCCATCTGTCCATCTGTCCATCTGTCCATCTGTCCATCTGTCCATCTGTCCATCTGTCCATCTGTCCATCTGTCCATCTGTCCATCCATCCATCCATCCATCCATCCATCCATCTACCTATCATTTACGCTGCAGCTACAGTGCTGTACAGACAGGCGCTAACCGTAACACCGGGACAACCTCCGTCCTTCGGGGGCGCGCACAATCAAAGAGACACATTGAACTGTGGACCGTTTTCGCGACTTGCACATGGACACGTTCGACGAATGAACACAACCCAGTACGCAGCCATAACTAATCAGTCAGGCGCAGTCGACCAGACCTCAGAAAAACACACTTATTCGCATAACGCGTAGGCGTCGCAGAAGCAGCAGCAGCAGCAGCAGCTGCAGCTGCACAGACGATCCACTCGGCGTGCCAGCTAAGATAGAGATCTCTGAAGAGAGTCATATTTGAACCACATGCACCTCTCGTGGTTTCGCTGGGATCAATGTTTGTCCTCGTTTGACACGGAGGTGAAGTGGGAGGGCGGGGGGGGGAGGGGGTG